CTTTCCCTTTTCCTTTTTTTTCCCTCTTGTTATAGTATTTCATTTTCTTCTTAGTCTGTCCCTCCCTCTTCTTTCTCCTCCCCTCTCTCTCCCCCCCCCCCACAAACCCAACTCAAAAGAAAAAGAGGGTCAGGTGTAACAAGCAGTTTGAATCCTCTGCAGTCTAACCAGCAAAAAGCAATTTCCATCTCCCAGTGAGCTCCTGCATTAGGCACTAGAACAGTGACGGGTGGGGGTGGAACCTAAACTTTAAAGCAGCTGCCAGGAGAAGCAGTCAAAATACGGGGCAACACTGCCAGAGTGTATAAACTCTTCCTTCATGGACAAGGATTCTGATTTATCAACCCCTCCTCCTGTAATTGCAATTAACTCTACAGGACACTATCATCCCTCAGCTAGTAGCAACTTTGGGAACACAGTTTAGACCCAGTAAATGGCTTAAACAATTCCACATGTCCCCCAATTGTTGGCAAGTGTCACTGATCTAATCAAGCCTGAAGCTACTTAAAAATTTGCTTTAAAAACAGAGCTGTCACAGACCTCCTTCATCATCTCCATTTTGAACCTAAGGTGTATAATAGTAATTGTAATCATTTCTGCCAAACTCCTTCCATGCTAGGCAGGTATCTTGGCTCCAAGTCTTTCCTCCATGGGGGCTACCTTATTTTTCCCCTGCCAGAATCATTTTCAATCTCCTTGTTACATGAATAACCACACTGAACTTTTTATAGTACTTGGTTGTAGAGGGAGACCAAGAGCTTTACAAAAGGTACAGAACAAGTTAAAAATGCCAATATTTGGCATGCTAACAGCAGTATCTCTATTCTCTCAAGTCCACCCTGTCCCAGGTAGCACACAGTCATTCACCTTTAAAGCATGGAGGGAATCAAAAGTTAGTGCTTTCCCTGAGCCAAAAAAGACAAGCATTATCGGGCTTTGAAAGGAAAGGCAAAGAATCTGTCTCTTGCCACACTTCATACAAGAGCTTAACACTGAAAAGTGGAGGCTCTCACATAGTGAGATTGACAGCAACGTGCTGCCCTGATGGCACAACGCAGGGCTGGCTCAAGCCCCTCAAAGATGCTTGGCCAGCCAATGGGAACCCCCTGAAACAAAAGCAAGGTAGCACAAGGCACCCTCAGAACACTTTGGCCTAGGCACAGCCAGATTTCACTCAGGACACGTGGTGACACGCTGGTGCTTCGTTTTGCCGCAGAGCAACTGTGTTCACGTTCCAGGACTTCCAGAGTTTATTCAGCAGTGAACTGGAATGCTTCCTTCCTACCTCTTTGGCTTACAAACAATCTGACCAGCCTTTCCCACACTACAGATGCTCTCCTTGGTCCCTGGACCTGAATCCTGGAGAAGCTTCTAATCATTTACCACTCAGGAGGCCCCAGCAGGTTACCAAGTGCAAAGAAAACATGAAAACCTTTCCAGGAGATACAGAAGAAAAAACACACACGCACGATGGGAAAGTAGAAAAGTCTCTGGGACGAGGGAGGTGGGTCAGGCTCTCCTTGCGTTCACAGAACAGCCCCAGCTTGCCAAGCCAGCGTGGGGCTGAAAGGGAGACCGATTATGGACGGGTCTCTTTCAGCGACCATCCCGGCTAGAACTCATAGTCAGAAGGTCTTCCTCCTGGATGGTCTCCAGCTCCTCTGTCTGCACAGCCTGGGTGATGAGGGTCAGCTCCTGGGAAAGTGTCTCATAGCGATAGGCTACCCGGATGTCTGGCACATTGGTGCGCCGGATGTCATTGCCCTCAGGCCCCTCCTTCAGATAGTTGGGCCCAAGCCAGTAGCTCTTTACCTGGGCAACAAAGACAGCAATCAATCCAGGGTTAAGATAAAGGGCAACCTGTTTTCCATCTGGACATTCTACAACAAAAACATTAATGAACTATACCTTTATAGGAACCCTTTTACAAACAGAACAAGAGCCAGCACCAACAATACCTCCCTCTTCCTTTCTCTCTTGCATGCTCACAAATACAGCAATCCCCATCCATTCACGAGTCTTAAATTCTCACCTTATGTTCACTTCAGTGCTTGTCTGCACTTCTCCCTAGCAAAGAATTTCACAAAGGCTCAATACCATCCCCCAACCCCCACAGAAGGGCTAACCCTTCATTCATTCTATGAAAACAGAATACCTTACTACAGGCACAGCAGTACTACAGTGCTAAGGATAAAGTCCTGGGACAGGCATTTCTGCCTTTTGCTCATCTGGAAAGCGGCTTAGGCTATGCAGTTAAAACTGCAAAGAAATGGCCCTAAATATCAACCTTATTTTCACTGCTGCTCGTTAAATGTGCCAAGTTCCACTGGGTTTTGATCAAGGTTTGAATGTCTCCTGGAATTTTACAAAATGTATCAAGGTGTAGTAGGTTGATCAAGCCCTATCTATTAATATAACTAATTCTCTGACATCCACACACAAAAAGCAGGGTGCTGTAAGCTTAGAAGAAATCAATGATTTGGGGATGTATTAATAGCCTTTAGGGAGGAAACCTACAGAAAACTGAAAATCAGTTTAATAAGGACTGAGGATAATCAGTGGGAACATAATGGCAGCTGATTACATGGGAGAAGGGAAGGACGAAGAAAAAAGGGCACGGCCAATACCGACGTTCTGAATTCCCCCACTGTACTTTCTAAGCCCAATTCTCTTTGATCTTCATAATGACCAGCCCAGGAGAGTGGCTACCTCACTGCTGAAAGAATCCAACCTGTGGGGATCTTTAATAACATGTACCCCCCACAAAAGATGTATTTATTCCCAGCCTAATTTTCCACACGTGCCAATGACTCTCTCAGAGCAAAGGCAATGCTCTTTTGCTGCAGACGGAATCAAGGGAAGGGAGGCACTGGACATGCTTTCTTCAAGATTAGCCCTCAATCATCTACTTTCTTTGAGTAAAGATTTGGTTGAGGAGGAGGCCTTACACAGGTTTTAAGTCTTCTAGGCAAAACAGGCTGGTTCAAATGAATAAGCCTCTGTAAGTCCCCTCCCCTTCAGAGCATTATTTTGGGAAGCCATGGCCTGAAGACAATCCCTTTCAGAGAAGATCTCACATTACCTTGTGGGAGAAGCCACTCATCAGCACGCTATTGCGTGCAAGTTCACACATGTCGCAGGAGCTGAGCTTCCAGACCTGTGTAGCAATGCTGTATTCCTCCATCAAGGGTTCCTGCAAGCGATACTGTCAGTCAGACCCAGATACACGCAAACAGAACATTGTTGTTTAGTCGTTAAGTCGTGTCCGACTCTTCGTGACCCCATGAACCATATTGCACCAGGCCTTCCTGTCCTTCACTGCCTCCCTGAGTTTGCTCA